AAACACCGATTCAAACGCCCTTACTACTTCTGAGGCAGTCTTTTTTTTAAGAGCTCGGACAAAAGCCTTTTTGGAAAACAAATCAATTACCGTTAATAAATAATTGTATCCGTCATTTTGATCGGCTAAAGATTGCATGTCACAAAGATCTGCCTGAAATTGTTTCATCGGCCCCGAGACAAAAACTCTGTTCCTTGGAAAATGAAGTCTTGCCGGTTTGTGGAGAGTGTAAGCGTCTTGCTCCGACAAAAAATCTTCAACCTCGGCTACCTTAATATTTTCCCCAGTTTCATTCTGCAAAGCTCTCCTTAACCTATCTATTCCCCCAAAACTTCCAGGATTGGAAGGGTTATAGTAGACTTTTCTTATAGCTTCCCGGTCAGACATCCTATTCCTTACACCAGCACTCAAAAAATAACGAGACTTTTTTATTCTTTTCTCCTTTATTTACATCGGTTAAATGAGTAAAACAACAAAACACAAAAACACAAAAACCAAAAAAATTCTTCATAATGTAACTCTTTTCAAATCACATCTACAAAACTACAAAATGTAAAAAACTTGAAATGTAAAAAACAAAAATCACATCTACAAACTACAAAATGTAAAAACAAAAACTTTTCAATTCACATCTACAAACTACAAAATGTAAAAACTTGAAATGTAAAAAACAAAAACTTTTCAAATCACATCTACAAAATGTAAAAACTTGAAATGTAAAATCAAAAACGTTTATTTATTTATTTTTTTTATCTTTTTTCTTTCTTTTTTTTTCAATCACTTCCAAGTGATACAGAAGACAAACAAGCAACTAAATAGCACATCATTCATCCAGTGCGACCAAAGATGTTTGAAATAGCACAGAGTTGTTTGATTTTGTAAATTTCTCTGTTGTTCCGATACACTTCTTCAACAGCAGCACACAGTCCGAACGAAGATCTGAGTTCGTACAAAAGAGTCTCCACAATTATCTTCACCCTGAAATCCTCCGCTTCTTGTCCGCGTTCTTTCATCAGATGTTGAATGGCTGGAATGAGTTGCGGTGTTTTGAGTCGACGTTGAAGCGTGATAAAGTTAGTCTGATAGAATTCTTCTTTCAATGCTTCGAGACAATGATGCTGTAGTTGACTCGGGTGGTCTGTTTGACATCCGTAACAAGTCTCTCGATTATATTCCAAAGCGACGTTGTTAAGCAAATGAAGCACGGCTGTTTTTACTATAGCAATGTGAGAGGAAAAGATCCATTCCTCATCCACCTCCCCGTTTATAATCGGTGGAGTCTGCGCCGGATGCACGATGAGGCTGGTTTGCTCGTCTTCGGACGAATCAGGTGAGGCTCCCGCCGCCCTGTCTTCTTCAGACTCGGAAAGAGTGGGAAGCAATTTCTTTTCCTCCTTCAGGTTATTTGCTTCGTTAGTCTCGCTTGGAAAAGGCGCTGGTGATGGTGGATGATTAGCTTCGTCTGGAAAAAGCACCGGTGATGGAGGGTAGGGTGGTGAAGGTGGGAGAAATGGTGTGGGGGAAATAGGAGAGTATAAATCCCAGTACGACCCCATTCTATCAGCTGTAGGTTCGCCTCTTCTTGAAAAGATGTGTGCCGGTATGCCTCCTCCCGCTAAATATATATAGGGTGGAGAATGGAGGGCGTGTCTAAAAGAGGGTTTTTTTCACAGTCAGAATGTCAAGCCAGCAGCGCGAACTCCGGAACAGGTTGGAAATCCGATCCCCAATTTCGATCATTTTTTGGCGCCATACACTAAAAGGTATCGCCAGCATGGTCCTAAAGATCCCGCTTTCTATGTTGAAAACTTCTAAAACAAACAGGTCGGGGGAAAAAGCCTCGTAGCTACGTCGCCTGCTCGCTCGGAGAGACCAGGACCCATTTGTGGTAGATTTTGTTTCCCAAACTGCGCTAAAAAGCATCTCTCCGTTGACGATTTCAACATCGGATGGAAAACCGATCAACTCTGACCGATCTGGTGTAGCCAATTCCCCGCTTAAATCTGTATTGTAGGGGACCACCAACCTCAGCACTGCCCAGTCATTATAGGTAAGGTTGCATGTGTTGGAAAAGGGTGTGAGCTTCTCTTCTTGATCCAGTTGGTAAAGGTAGAGCTCACCGGATTCGTATTTGAAGATGTATCCCCACGCCCCAACCATGCCAGAATCCTCTAAAGACCATTCTTCATGCAGTGTTTCTAAGGGAGGGTGCTGAACCCGGCATAGATACAACGATGATTTCTTGGGAGCTTCGAGGGGGTGGTTCGAAGCTTGGAATACAGAAATTGGCGTCTCGGATAATAAAGATGTTCCGCTCGGCAACGCAGATCTTTTATTCACCTCCATTTCTTCGGCCGGTCTAATGTCTGGGGAAGGCGTGGTCTCAGAGTCTTCCATAGCGTCCAGGGTTGTCGAAGTTGAAGCATCTTTCACAGACAGCGCAGTCTCAGAGTCTTCCATCGCGTCCTGGGTTGTCGAAGTTGAAGCATCTTTCACCAAAGGTTCGATCCCGAATTCTCCCATCGCGTCCTCCATTTCTTTGCAGGCGGAAAAACGGATCTCGTTCTTTACGCCTACTTCAAGCTGCTCTGGTAATTTTTTTCCAATTTCATTGGTTAGCTTAGGGAAGGAGGGTGGGTGATGGAGTCATAAATCATTTGTGGGGGAGGGGTAAGGTCATAAATCATTTGTGGGGGAGGGACCGGAAGGGGGGGAGGGGTAAGGTCAAAAGGTCATAAGTCATAAATCATTTGTGGGGGAGGGGTAAGGTCATAAATCATTTGTGGGGGGAGGGGTGGGTCATAAATCATTTGTGGGGGAGGGGTGGGTCATAAATCATTTGTGGGGGAGGGGTGGGTCATAAATCATTTGTGGGGGAGGGGTAAGGTCATAAATCATTTGTGGGGGAGGGGTGGGTCATAAATCATTTGTGGGGGAGGGGTGAGGTCAAAAGGTCATAGGTCATAAATCATTTGTGGGGGAGGGGACCGGAAGGGGGGGGGGGGTCAAAAGGTCATAAGGTCAGGTCATTAGTCATCAATCATTTTGACAGAAGGTGTCTTACTTATCTCTCTCAGAGCCTATATTTAATAGTAATTTTGGTACACAAAAGAGAAAACTAATTTCATGAAAACTGATTCAAAAGTTTCCATGAAATGAGTTGATTTAAAAGCTTTAATTGGTTGGAATATTCTTCTAAAAACTGCTGCTTTTTGCTTTGCTGGTCAGGTTTCCAGCACACATCTCAGTGTCAACAATGGGTGGTGAGGTTGCTCGAGGCCCCAGATGCAGAGACGAGTGAAGCAGAGATGAGTTCTGAGAGGTTTAATTGCAGACCATAGGTAGCAGAGGCAGAAATCCAGAAATCCAACTTAAAATATTAAACAACCCAAAACCATGGAGACATCAGGGGAAAACGAGCCTGAGGAGCCGGGGAGAGACGAACTGAGCAGACAAATACAGCAATGAGAAGGAACCAGCACTGAGTGACTGCAGAGGTGGAGTATTTAAGGAGAACAGAACAAAGGATGGACTAATGAGCTGAATAAGGAGCAGGTGTGGGTGGAACTGGCAAGAGGGAATCCAAGGGGAAAGAAAACAATCACAAGGGGGCAACAGAGAGCAACTAAAGAATGCTTGAATACCATGGAAAATAAAAACAAAACTCAGAGTCACAACAAATGGGAAGAACCATAACACTCAGATATGATGCATTAGTGAATGATGGATTCACTTATTGGCAAAATGCACTCAACAAGTTTAAAAACCATGTGTAGAAAACAGTGAAATGAATCTTGTCTGGCCTGACAGCTCTCTGGGTGCTCAGCAGCCCTAAACCTCTGGTTCTAGGATCGCCCCTGGTGCATAATAATCAGTGTTGGTACTAGTGCTGGGCGATATGGAAAAAATCATATATCATGATATGAACTATTTTATATCACAATAATGATATATATCGCAATATGCTCCAATTAAGTACATTTTCAGCAAATCTCTGAAAAATATGACAAAATAATATAATTGCTTACTTTTTCAACTTTTACATTTATAGAACTGTCACAAATTAGAAAAATAAATTGTAGTGCAACAATATATATGCATAAGATGAGGTGGAAATATGGCTACAGTATCCTTCACATTTTTTCAAATCCTACAGGTATTTAAATTAAATTACTGTGGTTCTTCTTTAGGTATTAGAAGAGGTTTGTCGTGTTTCCGTCGGGTAAGGGAACAGTCTTGTAGCATAGTTTGCAAATGTTGTCTGCTCCGTGTTGGACTTCTTAAATCCAAAATGTAACCAAATCACAGATGTGCCCCCTCTTTTTGGTAAAGTGTCTTTATCTTGGGTTGCCTGCGTAGCTGTCTCTGTTTGTTGCGACCACAGGTTTAATACTTCAACCTCCTGCGTCTCCAACTCTCAGGAGTTAAGTAACGTAAAGCATGTCGCAAACCCGCGTGTGAGTCAAAAACCCGTAAAGAAGCGTCATGTTGCAAAAACCACAGGACGCCGCTTCTTTGTGGATAAAAAAAAAAATCTTGTTTATCACTTATAAGCTGTGTGTAGGCTACGTGGCTACACTAATACGATTGTCGTAGTCTACCATGGGAAATAATTGCATGAATACGAGATACAATTGTGTTAGAAACGATAGAAACGATAGAATAGAATTAGCACGATAGACACTTTTCTATCGTCCGTACGATATGTATCGTCTTATCGCCCAGCCCTAGTTGGTACTAAATGAAAGATGATGATGATGATGTCACATGTTGCTGGCTGCAGGCAATTAATTATTATTTTAGAATATAGTAGTGCTTAACTAGAAGCTATCTCAGATTTAGATTATTCCCACTTCTGCCGTTGTACTTCTTATCACACCTTTGCAGCGATTGTAATTGTCATGGAATTAGTTACCATTTGATTTAGCATTAATAGGTTCTTGGCAGTACAGATGATTGTCAGTCATTTGGAGTAAAAGTACAGAATCTGAGAGGTGTACCTGGTCTGGTGAGAATCACAGCAGGGACAATGACGATGATGAGGAGGATAACAAGTCCAACACCCACTGATAAGATTATCAGCTGTTTCTTGGTCAGACAGCCCAGATAAATGCTTGGTTCCTGCTTTTGATTTTGGCCCCCACCTCCACGATCAGCCTTGCTCCTGGAGGAAAAGCAGAAAGCTTTACAGAACATTTTGAATTAATTTGCATATATAATAAAACATTTAAGGCTGGTCAGCTTTACCTTTATAGATCACAGCTGTACATCCATCGTCCTAAATATTTCATATGGTTTTTTTTAATAATGTTAACAAATCTGACACCTACCTGCTCTGACTGCTCGCCTCCTCTCTTTCCTGGTTCCCCTCTATGTCTCCCATTTCACAGCGTTTTAGCTTCCTTTATGATTAAAGAGACTAACATGCAGCTTTTGAGAGAACGTAGGAATATGCCTCCTATTTATAAGCAGTTTATCTAAATAACAAAGTCCAGGGTCATTAAGTGGATAGGATCACAGGCTATCTCTGCTCTGCTCATATCTTGAGAGAAAGTGTGAGGCCCCTAGCTGCAATGCAGATACTCTCAGACTCTTAAATTGAAAATTAATTGGTGTTTTTTCTGTGTCCCAAGTTTATAAGAATGATTAAATTATGGATTTAAATGCAATGAAATAATGAACCTTTAAAAATTATTGATTTTGTGCCTCGACTCTCTTTTAGGTGTTAGTGAAGCAACTAACCAGATTAAAGCCAACCCCTACAGTGGGTGACATTTATCACTTTACAACCGTAAGCTGTATCTAATTTGCATTTATGGATAAGTGCAACATGGAGGCAAAAAAAAACAACCTTTTGGTTTTCTCATGGGCTTTATTACAAGATTTCTAATTGCTGGGAACAACTTCGGTTTAAAGTACAGTTCTTCTTTTATGTTTTATATCTTTTTTTGGCTTGGATGAAGGAAATTGCACAACAAAAAAAACTGAGATCTGCAGGTTTTGTGGCTGGAAGATAGACTGATAAAAGCATCATAACATTCAATTAAATTCAGTTTATTTCTATAGCGCCAATTCACATCACATGTCATCTCAAGGCACTTTACAGTTCAACCAGATCATCCAGTCAGATTGATTCAAATTATTTCTAATTAAGAAAAACCAGTTGATTGCATCGACTCATTGACTCAAATACAATCCCTCACACTAAGCATGCTTGTTGCGACAGTGGAGAGGAAAAACTCCCTTTTAACAGGAAGAAACCTCCAGCAGAACCAGGCTCAGTTTGAGCGGCCATCTGCTGAGGCCCACTGGGGTTCAAGGAGACAGAAGCAGCGATACAAAAAGCAGCTGTAAAAGGCGGCCATGTCCAGGAAACACACAGCCAGACAGACGAGCTCCAAGCCAGCTCCCATGTCAGAGGACGAAGAGAGCACATCCAGTTAGTCACAGTCAGAGAAACAGGACTACACTGGAAAAACAGGCCGATGTTGATGGCAGCAGCACAGCTGATATTTCTCTCCAGGATGGAGTTACTGTAACTGAGTACTTTTTATGAGTAATTTGTAATTTTCTGAGTAGTTTTTGAAATATGTAATTTTTACTTTTACTCGAGTAAATTTTAACCTAAGTAGTTTTACTTTGCTACATTTAAAACCCCCTCACGTTACCGAGTGGAAAAAAAAATACTGATGGTGAAAACATTAAATGTGGCCCTGCCTTGCATTTACCCTTTGTATTGTCTCATAATCCAGTGCTGCGCTTCGGAAGATGGCAGTTGCTAATCACAAATTAGGGAGTATGGATGAGGAAAGGCCTGAAGAGGAAACATATTCTGGAGACGAAAGCCAGTAAAACCCTCGGCCATATTTGGACGGATTATTTGTTTTCAAATGCACAAAAGGGAACAATGTGATAATGCAGAGCAACATGTGGCTGCCCAGAAAAACGGAGCTTTCGGCTTTTAAAACATCAACATCCAACTTATGAAAAAATGTGGCGGTAAGTTAGTTATCATGGTGTTGTCTGTTGGACAGTAGGATTGAAAATTGTTTGCACTTTAGGGTTCAGGTTGTGACTGACCTTGTGCTGTGAGGAAGTATGTTCTTTAGCCCAGCTGATCTTTTGCAAATGTGGATGTCACTGAAATACGCCTTGAAATCGATTAAAACACCTTGTGCTCAATTCGATTCATGACTCATCCTTTTTTTGCATTACATAACTCAAAGTAACTAAGTAACTTTTACTCAAATTACATTTTAAATGAAGCAATTTTATACTTTTACTTGAGTAAATTTTGAGATGGGTAATTTTACTTTTACTCTGAGTAGAATTTAGGCAAAGTAAAGATACTTTTACTCAATTACAATTTTTTAGTACTCTTTCCACCTCGCAAACAGGAACAGATGAGGCTGTTCCTGTTTGGCTATTTTTTTAAAATATTTCAAAAACAGAGAGCTGTACAATGTACATGTACAATTATGTAAGAATATTTCCTTTTTTTATTATGATTATTATTACTGACACATCCTGAAATAGTAGGAAAATTTGTCTTCTTGTAGGTGATGTTTCCAGTTCATGCTGGGCTGCTCTATAATGGTTGGCGGTTAGATGGTTGCTCAACCAGACAATGAATTAACAGTTAACATTAAACTTTACAGGGATGAATAAAAAGATATTATGCAATAACTTTAGATTCAGTGCCCACTCAGGGGCTGTCAAATGAAAGTTGTGCATTTAAACGCTGTTTAAATAATCAACCGTTTGTCATGGGTTTTATGTTTTAAAAACCAAAAGTTTATACTAATTAGTTTAAAATAAGGTCAAATGAGCTTTTAACTAATGAAGAGCAATTATAGTCAAAGCAATTTGAAATGCAAATCCAGGGTAAGTAAAACAGTACGTGGTAAAATAATATTTTATTAAACGATTCTCCTGAATCAGAAATTAAGAATTTTGATTATTTATTCTTTACCTTCTGTGATCAATCAAGACCACCTAGCTTCTTTAGATTTATGAAAAAAATGGGCTAAGGAGACAAAGGTGACTCAATTTAAAAGGACTCTTCAGTCATATTTTGGCAATCAACTCAGGGGCGGAGCTAGATGGGGGGCCATTTTTCTCCCTCTAATACAGACGGTGGCAGCAGTAATACTCTCAGGTGGAATATTCATTTACATTTTTCATATATTACAGTTTTTTTATAGATAAATAACTAAATCATAGATAAATACCTATTTTAATAAAAACGTCTTAAATAATGAAAATATCAATTTTCTGCAGAATGATAACTGATAAAAGTAGGTAAGTAATGCAACAGCGTAGGTTTTGATTTAAACTTTGGTAGGGACACTATGGGTCTGATGTCATCGGTCCTGTGCAAAATTATGCATGCTCTGTTTTTTATGCTTGACGTGAAAGTCGGGGTGTATTTTGTTTAAAGAGAAAAGCAGCATTTGTTTTATTTTATAAGCACTACCACACACTAGATGCTTTTTATCAATGTTTGAAGCATCATCGGCTCTGATGAATGAAGAATTATGACTTTTTTCCACTTTAAAAAAGGTTTGCATTTGAAATTACCAGCGACTAAAACAGAAGGTAAATCTGTGCCTGTTTAACCAAATATAGTCTAAATATGTCTGTTATATGTGGATTTATCCTGTTTTGTCTTTTGAAGATATACAATTGTGCAGAGGTAAAACCCACACTTATCTTTTAAATATTCTCTCTGTATCATGAAACAAAGCAAAATAATAGATTCAAGGGACAGCAACTACATTTATTGTATAGTTACTCTATTTAACCCATATCATGTATTTTATCTTGGGCTAAAACAAGTCATTGGAATAATCGATTATTGAAATGTCAACAAAATTAGTAATTAATTAACCGTTAAGTGGCATATAGAGACTCTAAAACATGTCTTTAGCTCACAGAGCGACCCACTCAGAGCAGGAATTATACCAATTCCATTACAATACCATTGTCAAACTACTTGGTAGGGACAAGTAGGTCGGTCCAAAATTTCTGTAGGGACATGTCCCTATGGACCCTATGCAAAACTACGCCCATGAAGTAATGACAATGGAAAAGTTGTTCGCTATAGAACTCACACCTGAAAAAATTGTATCCACTATACCTTTTATCTAGAAAGCACGGATCTTTATATATATGCATCTATTTGTTAGCAAAGGCTGTAGGAAAGTATAGTTAGTCTTATCTTTAGCTTGACCAGAGTTCATACAGAGGGGCAAAAAAGTATTTAGTCAGCCACCAATAGTGCAAGTTCTCCCACTCAAAAAGATGAGAGAGGCCGGTAATTTTCATCATAGATATACCTCAACTATGAGAGACAAAATCAGAAAAAAAAATCCAGAAAATCACATTGTCTGATTTTTAAAGAATTTATTTGCAAAATATGGTGGAAAATAAGTATTTGGTCAATAACAAAAGTTCATCTCAATACTTTGTTATATACCCTTTGTTGGCAATGACAGAGATCAAACGTTTTCTGTAAGTCTTCACAAGGTTTTCACACACCGTTGCTGGTATTTTGGGCCATTCCTCCATGCAGATCTCCTCTAGAGCAGTGATGTTCTGGGGCTGTCGCTGGGCAACACGGACTTTCAACTCCCTCCAAAGATTTTCTATGGGGTTGAGATCTGGAGACTGGCTAGGCCACTCCAGGACCTTGAAATGCTTCTTACGAAGCCACTCCTTCGTTACCCGGCGGTGTGTTTGGGATCATTGTCATGCTGAAAGACCCAGCCACGTTTCATCTTCAATGTCCTTGCTGATGGAAGGAGGTTTTCATTCAAAATTTGACGATACATGGCCCCATTCATTCTTTCAGTCGTCCTGGTCCCTTAGCAGAAAAACAGCCCCAAAGCATGATGTTTCCACTCCCATGCTTCACTGTAGGTATGGTGTTCTTTGGATGCAACTCAGCATTCTCTCTCCTCCAAACACGACGAGTAGAGTTTTTACCAAAAAGTTCTATTTTGGTTTCATCTGACCATATGAAATTCTCCCAGTCATCGTCTGGATCATCCAAATGCTCTCTAGCAAACTTGAGACGGGCCTTGACATGTACTGGCTTAAGCAGGGGGACACGTCTGGCACTGCAGGATTTGAGTCCCTGGCGGCGTAGTGTGTTACTGATGGTAGCCTTTGTTACTTTGGTCCCAGCTCTCTGCAGGTCATTCACTAGGTCCCCCCGTGTGGTTCTGGGATTTTTACTCACCGTTCTTGTGATCATTTTGACCCCACGGGGTGAGATCTTGCGTGGAGCCCCAGATCGAGGAAGATTATATCAGTGGTCTTGTAAGTTTTCAATTTTCTAATAATTGATCCCTCAGTTGATTTCTTCACACCAAGCTGTTTACCTATTGCAGATTCAGACTTCCCAGCCTGGTGCAGGTCTATAATTTTGTTTCGGGTGTCCTTTGACAGCTCTCTAGTTTTGGCCATGGTGGAGTTTAGAGTGTGACTGTTTGAGGTTGTGGACAGGTGTCTTTTATACTGATAACGGGTTCAAACAGGTGCCATTGAT